GAGAGGGAGAAGCAGGCTTCCCGCGGAGCAGGGAGCCTGATGCGGAGCTCGATCCCAGGACCCTGGGATCATGACCTGAGCCGAAGGCAGACGCTTAATGACTGAGCCACCCAGGCACCCCTAACACTGTCAGTTTTTACAAACATCTGTGACTGCAACTCAAGATGAAAAGCTAGATTTTACATCATAATTTAGTGGGTATGTGTGTGTGAAATCTGTAATAAAATTTTCATGAAACACTACAATATGCTGTACACAGAAATGTTTCGGCGTGTTTTAATCTATAATGCATCTCTCTATTTACAGGAAGATATTCCTCGTCAGCTTGTCTACATTGGTCTTTACCTCTTTCACATTGCTGGAGCTTATCTTTTAAAGTAAGTTGGGGTTTTGCTTGGATGTGTAAATGGGACTGGGTAGATAGTGGGTCGATCTGTCTTAATTGATAATTTTTACATTTTAAATTTGTCTTTTTAACAGCTTGAATCATCTAGGACTTGTTCTTCTGGTGCTACATTATTTTGTTGAATTTCTTTTCCACATTTCCCGCCTGTTTTATTTTAGTGACGAAAAGTATCAGAAAGGGTAAGTTGTTTAGCCCTTCTCTTTCTTGTGTAATTGAAGTCAACCTCTGTGTTGCCAAGGACTGTGCGATTGCCAAGGTCCATGCTGGGGGCAATTATATCACTCTGTCAGCTGTTAGTAGTAGCTTTAAATAAAATGAAACAATTTTACAATTCAGGTTGATATTTTATTCTCTAAAATGGAGTCTCCTCTTTGTCCTCGCTAGAGAGATGTTACATTGGAACTTGTAATTTTGAAGGTTTTTGGGGTTTATTTTTCTGTTACAACTGCCCTTTTGTTTAATGCATGTTTTTCTTTTGGAGGAAGAGTAATAGGTAGTGATAATAGGAATAGGAAAGAAGAAAACGAAATAATAGATTATATAGCCTAAAAGATATTAAAATATTTCGATGGGAAAATGGGACTGAAAACAGAATTGGAGCAGTATGACTTGTTACAAAAAAAGAAAGTAAAACTAGGCCTATTAAGTGGGAATTGGGTGTCCTGTTAACAGGACAGCTTTTGTTTTGTCCAGCATTTTTTAAAATTATTCTATGTACCAGTTGTTTTGAGGATCATTAATTATAGTTATATTAAAAAAAAGATCAGCTAAACAAAGTCAATTATTTCTTTACTGAACTTCCTAGAATCTTAAATCTGCTATGTTATATATTTCCAAGAGTGTGATATATAGCATATCCCAAACCTTTTACTTCAGAATCTTTTTTTGCAGAACAAAAAGAAATGTTGTTTTAATATGCATTTACTTAGTAGGAATCTGATGCCTATTAGAATCTATTCATATCTTTGTAATTTTATGAATTTGACTTAAGACATTTTTCTTACAGGTTTTCTCTGTGGGCAGTTCTATTTGTTTTGGGAAGACTTCTGACTTTAATTCTTTCAGTACTCACTGTTGGCTTTGGCCTTGCAAGAGCAGAGAATCAGAAACTGGATTTCAGTGCTGGGAACTTCAATGTGTTAGCTGTAAGGTACAGCCAATTTAACATTTTTCTCACTTTGTACTGCTATATAGTATGTATTATCCGTTTATGATGTAGATCATCTTAAAAAAATAAAGAGACAAATACGGGGGGGAATACATTCATTTGATTTCAAACCTGCTGCAGTTGCGTATGTCTGAATTGAAATTCTAAGGGTTTTCTTTGAATTTAGAGATTACTATTAATGGGATAATTGTTTATTAACATCATCTTGTCACCAGTGGGAATTCAGCACCAAGATTATAATCCTGTCAGTGCAAGATAGAACACTGCATTCAATGGCATTGCTTTGATATACTCTGATTTTTGTTTATTAACCTTAATATCCTCAGAATTGCTGTCCTGGCATCCATTTGCATTACCCAAGCATTCATGATGTGGAAGTTCATTAATTTTCAGCTTCGGAGGTGGAGGGAACATTCAACTTTTCAGGCACCTGCTGTGAAGAAGAAACCAACAGTGACTAAAGGCAGGTCTTCTAGAAAAGGAACAGGTTTGTATTCAGTAAGCAGTGGAAAAGCTGAAGCAGAAAACATTCAAAAAAAAATGTAGTGGGGTCTTATTCTAAACTTAATTAAAATTTAAAAAATATTTTTTTTATTTGAGAGAGAACGAAAGAGCACTGTGCACATGAGCAGGGGAAGGAGCAGAGGGGGAAGGAGAGGGACAAGCAGACTCTGGGCTGAGCACAGAGCCCAACACGAGGTTCGATCTCATGACCCTGAGATCATGACCCGAGCCAAAACCAAGAGTCAGACACTCCACTGACTGAGCCACCCAGGTGCCCCTAAAATTCTATAAGGAAAATTTTAATTCTGTTTTTAGCAAAATCAGAGGCAAAGTAAAACTTAACCCATTCAACAGTTTGTTGATTCCCTGGGTCAGTTATTCCCCAAAAGCTGTCCACTAAATTTCTCTCTCCCAAGTTTTCCCCTAGACCAGTGTATATGGGCCGTTTTAGTTGTGAATAATTAACCCAGCAAGCGGTAGTTTGTGCTTTCAAGCATCTTACTCATATTTAAAAAACAAAACCTCTTTACAGCCCCTCCCCATCTTAGTTCCAAGTAGAACAGCATTTTCTATAACTTTTGATTGCTTGATCCTTCATCTTTGAGCCTGCATCTACCCTCTTTTCTTCTTCTGGCTTTTGACTGAAAATGCATTAACATTGCAGTACTTCTTTCAACTAGTATTTGGTGTTATAATAGGAATTGTAACATAGGAGTTCATTTTTAAAAATATATCAACTCTGGTTTGCTCCTTAAAAGTCTTCATATTTGATAGTTTATGTCCTCCAGCCCTGTCCTATTCAAGCTTGTCTCAGCAACTCTTGGGCCTTTGCATTTCATATAAGTTTTAGTACATCTTGGTCAATTTCCACCCCCCCCAAAAAAAAAAACTCTTGCTGGGATATTAGATTGGAATTACATTGAATCTATAGATCATTTTAGGGAGGAATGAGCATTTCAGCCCATGAATATGGTATATACTTCCATTTACCTAGATTATCTTTAACTTCTTTCAATGATACTTATTTAATAACCATTGTGTTGGGATCTAAATCACATACCATAAGGTTCACCCTTTAAAGTATATGGCTCAGGGGCGCCTGGGTGGCTCAGTCGTTGGGTGTCTGCCTTCGGCTCGGGTCGTGATCCCAGAGTCCTGGGATCGAATCCCCACATCGGGCTCCCTGCTTGGCAGGAAGCCTGCTTCTCCCTCTCCCACTCCCCCTGCTTGTGTTCCTCCTCTCTCTGTCTCTCTCTGTCAAATGAATAAATAAAATCTTAAAAAAATAAAGTATATGGCTCAGTGGTTTTTAAGTATATTCACAAAGTGTGTGAGCCACTAATTCGAGAACCTTTTTATCTTCCCAAAAAGAAACCCAATGCCCACTAGCAGTCATTTCCTATCCTTTCCTTCCCCCTGCCTCTGGCAGCCACTTACCTATTTTCTGTCTCTGTGGATTGGCCTTTTCTGGACATTTCATATAAATGGAATCATATAAATTGTGATCTTTTGCAACTGGTTTCTTTCACTTAGCTTATACTTAAGGTTCATACATGTTGTAGCAAATACCAATACTTGATTCCTTTTTATGGCCAAGTACTATTCCATTGTGTGGATATACCAGATTATGTTTATCCACTTACTAATTGCATTTGGGTTGTTTCCACTCTTTTGCTGCTGTAAACATTTATGTACAAGTTTTTTTTTGAACACCTGTTTTTGCTCTCTTGGGTATATACCTAGGAATGGAATGGCTAGGTCAAACGGTGATTGTATATTTAACATTTGCGGGAGGAACCGCTAAAAGTGGCTGCACCATTTTACATTCATTGTTTTTACATATGATATCCAGTTGTCCCCTGCAGCATTTGTTGAAAAGACTAACCTTTCTCTATTGTGTTGTCCTGATACCCTTGTTGAAAATCAGTTGATCAAGTGCTTCCAGGGCAGAATAAGTAATTTGTTTTCGGTGGGGAGAGGAAATCAGTTGATCAAAAAGTAGGAATTTATTTTTGGGCTCTCAATTCTGTTTTTGCCTATTCTTTTTTTTTTTTTAATTTTATTTTATTGTTATGTTAGTCACCATACATTACATCATTAGTTTTTGATGTAGTGGTCCATGATTCATTGTTTGCGTATAACACCCAGTGCTCCATTCAATACGTGCCCTCTTTAATACCCATCACCACGCTAACCCATCCCCCCCTCCCCTCTCGAACCCTCAGTTTGTTTCTCAGAGTCCAGTCTCTCATGGTTCATTATGCCTGTTCTTATGCCGGTACCACACTGTCTTGATTACTGTTGCTTTCTAGTTTGTTTTGAAATCAGGAAATGTGAGTCCTCCATTTTGTTCTTTTTCATTCTTTGGTTATTCTGGGTCCTTTGAACTTCCATATGAATTTTAGGATCAGCTTGTCAGTTTCTGCAAAAGCCAGCTGGGCTTTTGATATGGATTATTTTGAATCTGTCGATTCCCTTGAAAAATAGGAACATGGATGTCCTTCCATTTATTTGGGTCTTCTTTCATATCTTTTAGTTAAATTTTGTAGTTATCCGTGTTTAAGTCTTGCACTTCTTTTTATTCCTAAGTATTTTATTCTTTTTGATGATATTGTAAATAGAATTGTCTTCTTAATTTCTTTTTTGGATTGTTTATTGCCAGTATATAGAAATATAATTGATTTTTCCATATTGATCTTTTATCCTGCAACATCACTGAACTTTTTAGGGTTATTATTTAGTAGTGGGGTTTTTGTGTGAATTCCTTTGCATTTTCAGTATGCAGGACCATGTCATCTGCAGATGGAAATAGTTTTACTTCTTCCTGTCTAATCTGGATGATTTTTATTTCATTTTCTTGCCAAATTGCCCTGCCTAGAACCTCCAAAACAATGTTGAGCAGAAGTGGTGGGAGCAGACATCCTCATCTTGTTCCTGATATTATGAGGAAAGCATCTAGTCCTTTACCATTAAGTATGATGTTACTTGTGGGTTTTTCTAAATGCCTTTATCAGCTTAAGGAAGTTCCCTTCTATTTCTGGTTTATTAGTATCTTTATCATGAAAGGATGTTAGATTTTGTCACTTGCTTTTTCAGTATCTGCTGAAATCATCAAATGGTTTCTGTCCTTCATTTTATTGATATCATGTATTACTTTTTTTTTTTAAAGATTTTGTAATTATTTATTTGACAGAGAGAGAGAACACAGGCAGGAGGGAGGGGCAGAAGGGAGAGGGAGAAGCAGACTCCCCGCTGAGCAGGGAGCCTGATGCGGGAGCGGGACTCGATCCCAGGACCCTGAGATCATGACCTGAGCTGAAGGCAGACACTTAACCCACTGAGCCACCCAGGTGCCCAATATCATATATTACTATGAATTGATTTTTGAATGTTAAGGCAACAATGCATTCCTGGGATAAATCTCATTTGGTCATGTTATATAATCCTCTTTAGATGTTGTTTGATTTGATTTGTTAGTATTTTATTGAGCATTTTTATGTCTGTATTCATAAAGGATATTGATGTGTATTTTTTGGTAATATATATTATTTTCAAATGTAAAACCAATCTTGCATTTCTGACATAAATTCAAGTTGATGATAATTCATCACTTTTAGTAGATTGGTGTTTTCAGTATTTTTTTAGAATTTTTGCACCTGTGTTCATATAAAAGATTGGCCTCTAATTAGCCTGGTTTTGTTTTTGTAATGTTCTTATCAGATCTTGGTGTCAGGGTTGTGGTGGCTTTATAAATAAAAGTATTGGGTAGTTTTATCTTTTGTGTGATGTCAGCATTATTTCTTACTTAAATGTTTGGAAGAATTTACCAGTGAGGCCACCTAACCTAGAATCTTCTCTAGGGGAGGATATTTTACCTATAGATTTACATTCTTTAATAGATAATAGGATTATTCAGATTTTTATTCCTTATTGTGTCTCCTTTGGAAAGTTGTGTTTGTCAAGGAATTTTTTCATTTCATCTAACTTTGCAAGTGCATTGGTAAAATTATAATATCCTCTTACTCATTTGTGTAGAATAGTGGTATTTTTTATTTCCTATGTTAGTAATTTATGCCCTTCTCTCTTTTTTTTTTCCCCATTTGCCAAGAACTAACATTTGTGGGCTTTTTTGTTGATTTTCCTAATCATATCATTGATTTGTGTTCCTATTTCCCTTTCTTTGGGCTTGATTTGCTGTTTTGTTATTTGTGGTTTACCTTCTTCAGATGGATCTTTACATCATTGATTTTCTGCCCATCTCGTGAATTACTTACAATTAAAGACAAACTTCCCTTTCAGCAATGCTTTAATTGAATTTCATAGATTTTGATATGTCTTTTTCATTATCATTCACTTCAGGATATTATAATTCCAATCTGATTTCTTTGACCCATGGATCAATCATTTATTAATGCATCATTTAATTTACAACTACTTGGGCATTTTCTAGTTTTCTTTTTGTTACTGATTTTAGCTTAATTCCTTTATGGTTAAAGAACATATTCTGAATGATTTCAGTTCTTTGGAATTTGTTAGACTTTCATTATGGCTCAACATGTGTTCAGTTTTGGTAAATGTTCCATTTAGACTTCAAAAGAATGTGTTTTCTGAATTTCTTGGGTTTTATGTTGTATATCAGGTCAGATTTGTTGTATTGTTCAATCTGTATCTTTACTGATTTGGTAAGAGTTCTGTTTGTTCAGTCAGTTATTGCAGGAGATACCACTTTTCCTTGTAGCTTACCAGTTTTTGCTTTCAATATTTTGAAGATGTATTATAGGTATATCAAAATTCAGGGTTGTTATAAATTCCTGTTGAATTTATCCTTTCCTTTTATTGAATATCCATCTTCATCTCTAGTAAATGTCTGAATTTACTACTATAGCTACACCAGCTTTCTTTTGGTAAAATGTTATGGTGTATCTTTTTCTATATTTTTCTACTTTAAACCTTTCTTTATCCTTAAATATAAATTGCATCTCTTGTCAGCAGCATATAATTGGATTTAATTGTCTGATAATTATTGTCTCTGTTTTTGGAAT